GAAGATATTCATGAACAATAATATGTCAGGAAGTTACACTGACATCCCTATATTGACAAAATGAATCTTTTATCTCAACAGTCAACAAAAAGAAATTCCCAAAGGAAGCTCGCTTGAAGTCAGTAAACCCAAACTCTTTATTCTCTATCTATCTGTACGAATCTTACAGATGAACAATTTCCCGGTGTATAAAATAGTATAATCTTATAATTACGGGCCTTGACAACGTGAATGCAGTCTAGCATCGGGTTATTTGTTTCTTATCTTCTGCCAATTGCTCAACATGACAACAAAGACACCATGTTTTAGGATGATGAGACGAGGGCGGGGCGACGTGAGCAATAGAAAGAGGTTGTACTGGATGACGACCTGATCATCACCTGCTTCTTGCCCTTTGTTCCATGATTAATGACCCGGAACTAATTTCTAAAAGTCAAGGCTGGTCGATTGGTTATTTTCAGAATCTGTCAAAATGTTTTAGAAGCGTATTATAGGCAATTCATAGGCACGTATCAGCCGTCAATGAAAGATAATATTAGTGTTGCCAAAAAGATGATGGAAGTTTCTTTTTTTTTTTTTTGACAATGATGTCACATTGCATGCTACAGTTAAAAAAAAAAAAAAAAAAAAAAAAAAAAATCAACAGATATTGAGGCCTTTAAGAAAAGTACACTTCACCATTTGGTCTTTACCATTTGAGACTATTACAACTGTTGAGTCAATACCATGGGGATGCATACCTGTGGTACTTCTCACTATTAACCGATCTACACAAAAAGAGTTGCCACTGACCTTTATGCTTGTCCTTCCAAGTATCACTTCCATTCCTAAGCGCCTTCTAAAAAGTGCAATGAAGAGAACAGATGTCTAAGTGTCAGGGGCAGGATGATGGGCGGGAGGAAGGGATGGGCGTGGTTTTGCCAACATTAAATACTGTTACCTGATCACCACACGTTTCTTGCTGGCTGTTCAGTAATTGACGATCCGGAAGCAATTTGCCTGTGATTAAGGCTAGACGTTTCATAGGCATTGTAATGATATGCCATCTGTCACTTAACGTAAAGGAGTCTTTTGTTGTCATATTGAGCTAGTGCAGGAGCTAGGAAACGAATTAACCGATGCTAGAAGGGACTGCATTATTGGTATGAAGACCCTTAGCAATTAGATTATACTGCTTTATACATCGAAAATTGCGATACTGTAAAATTCTTTGCCATAGCTGCCAAAGACACACCAGGCACAGGAGGAAACGCATGACAGGGATCTATTTTTGTTGTTGTCCATTTAGGTTTATATGCCAGATAATGTTCTCTTACGGCTCACTGAATACTGTGTAGAATGACGGAATAATGAACTCGTCCCATTGAGTTCCATCTGAGAACATTCGGACGAAAAACGTTTCTAGTTATAAAGATCGAGAAACGTTTCTTGTTAGCGGGAGGAAAGTGAATGGAAATGATACTAGGATGGACAAGCATAAAACTTCATCATCATATTCATTCTTGCATCCATTCTTTTGATAAGCACATGTCAAGACAGATGTGCAGTTAGCTATGATCAAGTATTTACTGTGTGGACCACTCATTTTATCTAATGTTCACCGAATTTAGAAAACTTAATTGCACTCCGAGACAAAAAAAAAAAAAAAAAAAAAATCTATAATTAAAAAAGATTATTTAATGAGTTGAAGGAAATTCCCCATTTGGAGATGAACGGGACATAAAAGAATTGCATTTTGTTCTACAGTGGCTTTCAAAACGGACTATCCCACTGAGAAGGTTTTTAGGAGAACCATAGGAGGAAGGAAGGCATTAGCAGAAGGCGGTCCATAGGGGAGGAAGGGGCATGGGCAGGAGGCGGGTCATGGGCGGGAGGCGAGGCCATGGGCAGGAAAATGGGCGTGTTGAGGGCGTGGCGGGGCAACAAAGAGGTTAAACTTAATTATGGCCTGATCCTATGGTTTCCTGAGTATTCAGTGATTTATGATCCGTAACCAATTTCTCAGTGGCTGAAGCTGAAGTGGTTATTCCCAAAGAACACATAAAGGAAACAAGTTGACAGACAGATATGCCTTGACTATGCGGTAGGTTGTGTTCATTTTCCATTTCCTGAAAGAACATTATTTGGAAGGACGTCCGCGGCACAAATGGCATATATTGGACACAGTGGTTACCCCCTTTCTTCTTAACCTCCGCTGTCATATTCTCACCTTGAGAAACATCTTTATTTCCCGTTTGTTACGTTATTCGAAAAGGACAGAAATTATTTGCAATATTGATTCAGCGCCGTCTGTACACCGGATTGTTTTTAGTAAGTCTCTATATTTGTAGATTATATAAGTTGGACATAGAATGACCATAGACGCATGTATGTGAGAGGATGCCTGTGAGATTAAAGTGTTTTAATGACACTGGCAGACGCAATATGAAATGAACAGATAGACACGTAGGTTAAAGGTGTTCCTCGAATCTTACAACTTACTAGTCATAACAGCCAAACAAACTTCTCAAAAGACAAGAAAGCGTCCATCCCAAGAGCTAAAATAGATGTAACTGAAGTCTTTCCAACACCATCTGTTGTTGGGATTTCGAAGCGAGTGTTGCTCTTCTCTTGGTGACAGAAGCCGATGGTTCCATTACAAGACGATGCGTATTACTCTGCCATTATTGGAATATTTATAGATATGTTCAAACATTTCTGTGTTATAATCAGCATTCATTAGACTCCTAAAAACATTCGGAATATTATTTTATTTGTTGTTGAAAAAAAATGAATACAAAAATATGCCTTGTTACTGTTTCCTTAAAAATAAAATATAGAAGCATAGAAAGAAATAAAGTAATTAGCCAATAATTCAATACATTAGCCTCTTGAGTGTGGAATATGTGTGAAAAGCGTATGTGTGACTGAGATTTGAAGGAGTGTCAGTGTCATTGAGCGAGAGAAAGAGTATGGGTGCCATTGTAGGCATATGTTGCATAGTCATTCGGTTAGAGTGTAAGGAGACCCAGCGTCAACTGCAGTCATTCTCGCTAATCCTTTGAGATCAGAAGCACGAGAATTGCTAAGGAAAAATCTAATTGAGAACGAAAAACGTTTAAGTGACCGACAAGAACGAGTTCGCGACAAGGTGTGAATCGGTGGCCCTCGCGAGAGGTCACTTCAGGTCACCTATGAAATATTGAGGAAAACAATTCTTTCATGATTTACAAAATTTTTGAAGAAGCGCTCTATGCATTTAGTAGGTGCGTGTGGGAAAAAATCACGATTAATATTCCACTAACATTTAGTGAAAAAAAGAAAGGAGAGAGAAAGAAAGAAAGAGAGAGAGAAAGATAAAGAAGGAAAAGAGAAAGAGAGAAGATAAAGATAAAGAAAGGAAGAAGATAGAAGAGAAGTAATGATAATAGATGTCATAATCATAACATCCTGATAAGCAAGTCAGGCTAATGATGATTCGTAATTAATCATCATTTGTCGCCATGCAAAGGCCGCGAGCACACGTGACCTTTGGTGACCTTCCTGTTTGGCCAACCAATTCACACCTTGTCGCGAACTTGCTGCAGTCACGCTAACTGATCTTAAAGGATTATACTTAAAGACTTTTTTTTATCCGAATAGATTTATACAAAGAATGACATGAGGATGTTATTACAATAATTTGATAAGCAGACAAAATTTAAGCTTTCTCTGCAATCATTCAGACGTAGGGTCATGGTCACACCTGGAGCCGCAGAAAGTGCACCCCAACCACACATTGCAACGTTCAATCCACGCAACCAATCCACAACTGACAAAAACAGATCCAAGGAGGGAAAGAAGGCGGGGAGGGACGGAGGCGCAATGGCGACCTGGTCATCTGCGCCGTGTCATGACCTGGAACCAATTTCCTGCAACAAGGCCAAAGGAAAAGCAGGTATGAGAGTGTCGCACTTAATGGCTGTTTCCTTCATGTCGTACTAATAATTATGTCATAACAAGTGTCATGTCATTACGCTAAATCAATTACCATACCAATATTACATGAATTATCCTATCAATACCATATCACATTGGTATGATATATGATGCAAGTTGTCATATCAATATTACATTATATTAAATTACTTGCTAATCCCACTTTCAAATGTAATATAGATATGCAGCTTTTGTAAAATGTTTGTATAACATAGAAGATATGAAAATATATATACTATACGCCGTTTTAGGAATATATATACATATATATAAATTAAGGTGTTCAGGGAACATATATCATGAGATTGGAATATACATCATAGGATATAGGAATATGTAAAATACATAATAGATATACGTAATATGGGACGAAAGAAATGCATATAATAAAACATGCAGAAACATCGTACAATGCATAACAGCAATATATGGTATGATATATAATGGAAACTATACGCTATAATAAAAATATAATAATAAAATCGCAAATAATATGAAACTGTTGAAAATAACACAGTTGGCAACTCCAAGGGAGGTCATAACTCGCGTCCTCATTGGCTGTCGCCTTTTGCAGTCCACGTATATTACCTTCCACAGGTGAGATTCCACATCACTTTTCGCTGCTCATCGCTAGCACTACAATCAGCATTGTCAGCATGTATGCCTGTGGTACACTGACACAGTCGCAGCTTCCTCACTGGTCAGCCATGAGTGCCAACAACGCTTTCAACAGCACAAGCAACTTCGCTTCCTTCCATCAACAGCCTTTACCCTTATCACCGCCGCCCGACGCTCGCCACGCCCATTTTGCACACGTGTCAACGCCCGTCTCGTACCTACAGCACCACTACAACGCCATCGCACCGCCCATGCTCTCTCCTCCGCCCGAGAAACCCGTCACGCCCCCGAAGGAACCGCACACATCCTCCTGCTGGAACACTGCCGCCTACGCTACTCCGCCCTCACATGCTGCTTCCACCTACCACTTCCACCCTCACCAGTACGCCAGCCTTGCACTGGGTGGCGTGGCACACGTGTCCAGCTGTTCCTCAGTCCGTTCCCAGCGCCGTCACTCACGATGCCATTCCTCACCAACAAAGCAACATCGCCGCCGCTCTCCTCACCGCTCACTCGTCGCTCACTGTTCGGCGTTGTCGACGATGCCGCTGTCCTAACTGCCAGGACACTTCGCGAGACGCTTCAGCTGCCAAAGAGGGAACACGTGTGCCATGTTCCAGGATGTGGCAAGCTCTACGCCAAGACTTCTCACCTCAAGGCACATCTGCTCTCGCACAGCGGAGAACGCCCCTTCGTGTGCCACTGGATCTTCTGCAACAAGGCCTTCACTCGATCCGACGAACTTCAGCGCCATCTCAGAACGCACACCGGTGAAAAACGTTTCCAGTGTGAAGAGTGCGGAAAACGTTTCATGCGTTCTGATCATCTGAACAAGCACGTCAAGACGCACGAGAACCGACGCGCCCGTCTTGCTTCTGCTTCTCCTGCCGAAGGTGACGACGTTGACGTGGAACTGTGTGACGATGAGGAGTTTCTCTCCGTTACTCTGCCAGACTCTCCTATATCAGAAACAGAAGCTGATCACGAAATGCAGATGCACACCATCAGTCAGTTTTTATAATCCTATTGGGATATTTAGTTGACGAAAAAAAGAAAGGTGAACCTGTAGATAAACCCTGTGCTTTTATGGAAGTAAATTGTTTATACTGATATGTCTATTTTAATTTCATACCTATGGCTTATCAAACATAAGTACATGCAATTAAAACCGTGATGACTAAGATATTTTTTTTCATTTAATTTGAATGAAAAAGGTGCTTCATAGTTTTCAGTGTTAGGATTTTAAAATGTTACATAAAACTTGTAAAGGTAAAATTTATATAAACAAAAGCAATGTCAGAGACAATTCTTTACCTTCACCCACTCGACTACCTCATCCACTCTGATTGCGCCCATGATCAGGAACGAGAAAACAGGCTACTTTTAACTTCCAAAACATGAACACCTTTACAGCATCATGGCATTAGCATGCCTATAATGCGCATCGATAAGACATTTCTTATTGTTTAATCGCTAGTAAAGATCCCTCGGAACATGATAACTGTTTGAGTAACTGCTTATCCAAACAAGGATCAAATCTACGTACATTAACGTACGTAGATTGATTAACAGTGAATTGCATATGAATAAAAGGTTATCACACACACATATATATATATATATATATATATATATATATATATATATGTATGTATATCCACACACACACACATATATATACATACAGATCATACATATGTGTCAATATCTAATATATATAGATGTATTATATAAATATATTATGCATACACATACATATATCTGTATGTAATCTTATGCATATGCATTATATTTGTTTGTATATATACATACATATATGTGTATATATACATACATATATGTGTATATTAACACACACGTGTGTATATCTAAATCTACTTATCTGTCTACATGTGTGTGTGTGTGTGCGTGCGCGTATGTAGATGTATATATATATATATATGCTTATATGTACACACACACACACACACACACACACACACACACACACACACACACACACACACACATATATATATATATATGTGTGTGTGTGTGTGTGTGTGTGTGGTGTGTGTGTGTGTGTGTGTGTGTGTGTGTGTGTGTGTGTGTACATGTAAGTATATATTGAAGATATTTATGAACAATGATATGTCAGGAAGTTACACTAACATCCCTATTTTGACAAAATGAACCTTTTATCTCAATAGTCAACAAAAAGAAATTCCCAAAGGAAGCT